GGTGAAATTTGTGATAAAACAGTCGATTTTGATGGGTCCGTCTGTGGAGGTGGACTAATACGTGTAAACTCCCTCCTAGGTGGATTTTGTTGCTGAGGATACGTGTAATGCTGAGTGGGTGAATCCGATAAAGTATGAGTGGGAGAAGTAATTTTATGATTGGGTAGAGAGGGAGGCAGTAATAATGAGTCGTTGGTATTACCTAAGGCGGGCTCATACTGGGTATCTACTGTTTTGCTTAAAGGAGCTGGTTTAATAGGATTATTAGGAGTTGGACTTGAGTCCATATAATCATATTGAGGCCCAGTTTGATCAGCTAGAAGACTAAACTGATTTTGTAGGCCCTTGTTAGGCTTAGACAGCCCATCATCATGCAACGGGTTAGTGGAGCACAAAATTGGGACCTTAGGGTTAGAGAACTTACCTGGTAGCTCCCGCGCCGGCAGCTGATCCATCAGTGGAGTAGAGGTGGTGCTTTTACTCAGCCTTTGGTTATGCATCGAGTTGAATTTTTTGGGAAGATAACTGTTTTCCATTCTTGCTCAGTTGTAGTAGAAGTCGATGGCTTAGCGGTTGTAGGAGTTGATGTAGTTTGAGTAGGCGTTGTACAATTTTGTAGTGTATGGCCAAGATGGCCACAACTCGTACAGAGTATGTTAACACCTTCATATAGAAGGCTTTGTCTATGGTGGCCTATGTTGATGTAGGATTTGAGAGGTCGTTCCAGAGGTACCTCTATGCAAATACGTGCATAACGTACTCTCGTGGTTGTGGAGGTGCAGGTATCAATCTTCAAGAGTTGTCCTAGTTTGTTTCCAACTCGTTGCAGAATCTCTGTATCATAAAACTCCGTTGGCAACTCCGGAAGCGTCACCCAGATGGCCGAGTAAGTTAGTTGGGTGGCCGAGGTCGTAAACTTGGGTTCCCATCGACGTACGGATAAGAAGTGATTTAAAATAAACCACGGACCTCCCTGAAGAGCTTTTAGCATGTTATCTTCCTGTTGAAATTTGATAAGGAAGAAATCCGATCCTAAATCAATAATAGGAAGTTCTTCAGTGGGCTTCCAGATCTCCTTAAGCTTAGTCTTTAATATATGATGTGCAACTCTTCTTCCAAACAGCTTAACAATTACTGAATATTTCCAAGGCTCATATATCCGCGCCTTATCAGTAGTTGTTATTGTGATAAAATTATCAGCTTCGTCCGTGTCTTGAATTATCTCCTCAGTTAGGTCATGGTTAGGTATTATTCGTTGATGATTGCTTATTGATGGAGATAAGTATTTGTTTGTAAGGAGGGTTTGCAGGAAAGAAGCTGGTTTATGTGCTAGAGTGTTATCATCAATTTGCATCAAGGTGAGGTCTGGTGGTTCCTCGAGTGTATGATGGGGTAATTTGTTAAAAGTAGACATATGTAATAGGATTCTTATGACTGGTTATAGGAGAGGTGTTGTAGTAGATAGGCTATGGAAGAAGTTGAAACGAGAGAGAACATGTTGTGCAAGGGAATTTTTTAGACCCCGAGGTTTTGACTCCTTGATAAACCTGACCATTTAAAACAACTCTTAACTATCCATAACTATATGATTTAATTTAGGAAAAATTTCACATTAGAACTACCGGGCTCCCTACTTTTCAATTTTATAGTCCTTACAATTAACTAGCCCAAAAATAATAGGGGTTTTGACACAGTTACCCACAAAAACAAAATTATTTACTCTTGTCTACCCATTTATTTTTCTACCCATAAACTAATTACATTTCCTACCCATAATAGTTTTTGTGGGGAATTTTTTCTTTATTCTCCAATTCTTTTTTATTTCTATGCTTCTTTTCTTCTTCTTTTTCTTTTTTTTCTTTTCTCCTTTTCTTCTTATTTTTTTCTTTTTTTCCTTTTCTAATTTCATTTAACTTTTTTTTTTAAATTATTTTTCTCTTCATAATCTAATTTCACTTACCGTTTTCACTATTTTTTATTATTCTTTTTTTATACAATAAGAAAAAATAATTGATACAGTAAATATTTGTTCACTTTTTTTAAATATAACTAGTACAATATACCTTTTGTTTTTTTTTCTTTCTCATTTTTTAAATTCAATTATGAAACTGAAATAATATCAGTTGGCACTTGACCTAATTCATTGAATATCACATTGACTGCTGATGAGCACCACAAATTACATAATCATATTCTAAGAATCAACACGTGATTGCCATGCAAACCTTGATCTCCTTCCCTATAAATATCAGTACACACTCTACCATTAGCAGTAATACAACCAGTTATAGAGTAAGAAACATAATCTACGGCAACCAAATCTTCATATATACTAGTTATAATAAAATGACAACAAAATATTAAAAAATGCAACAAAAGTATAAGTAGCAAAAAAGACTTCTAGTACCATGTGATACCAATATAGTATATATGCATACCAACAGAGCATGTGATTTCTCTAGAATAATGCTACAACTATCTGCGACTATACTACTGTACCAAAAACATTAAAGGACGCAATAAAAGTATGAGAAAATTACATGCTCGTATTGCAAGCTAAATATTCGCAAAACAACTTGCTCATTTCGTATACTAAGAGGGTATATAGTTGTATGGGGTCGTTCCAACAATTGCCTCTAACTATAAAAATTATTACACAATACACATAATTTATGTCCATCGGCACACAAAAAATCCAGCATTGCAACTCATGTTCATATAAATAATTTCATAATAGAATTCACTTAAAATGCAGCTAAAACAACCAAAACAATGTTCAACTACCATATGATACCAATATCGCATATAACTATACCAACATGATATACAGTTTTACTAGTTCCCGACAACTATATGACTATACTACTATTACATAACACATGCATAAAGAGAAAAATAAAAAAATAGTGTACCACATATTAATATGATAAGGTATTTCAAGATATTGTACTATATTACTATTATTAAAAAAAATCAAATATTGTACCAATTAAATGCAACTAATACAATCAAAAAATGATTCAACTAGCATATGATACCACTATAGTATATAGCTATACTAATAGGGTATTTAATTGGAATGAATTGTATACTAAAATGGTATATTTGTATACTATTTGGGTATACAATACAAATTCGTCTTCTTCTCTGGTTCAACTATATTTCAAACCCAAATTTCTAAAATCTACTACAAAATCTCCACCAAATTGACTAAAACTTTAGCTACAACCTCCAATCAACTTTCCAAACAAACTCATACAGGATCGGATCAAAATAATTAAAAACTCAAACAAACCAAGTTATGAGTTTCAAGCTTCAAGGTCCTTCAATGGTGGATTTAAATTTTTGTCCAATAAATCTCCAAAAACCAGCATCAAAGGTACAATCTACACATCAAAGAACAATAACTAACGAATTTCAACAGTAAACCACTATAAAAAAATCAGATCTGGCATTTTGAACTCATTCATATGGAGTTTCAAAAATTGATATGTTCTTCCTATGATCTAGTTTTTGAATTGTACCCTGTATTTTAGTGTTGAAACTTGTTTGCAGTGCTAAAATCACGAAGGCTTGAAGTTATTTCAATTTTCAGTGCGAACGGATGAGAGAATAAGCCTAATCAATGCCTCAGTTCTTGGTCGCAAAAAGCATCGCTGGAATTAGCGGGTAAATAGTTTGGGCCATTTGGGCAGGAGTAGTAAATAGTTTGGGCTTGGGCATTAAAGGGTAAATAGTTTGGAATTAATGGGTATAAAATGAGATTTTCCCAAAATTAATAGGCTAATACTCAACATTCAACTCCAATAGGTTCTCGAAATTACTATTTAATTTTTTAAAAATATTGCTCAAGCTTTTAAGTTAATTTTCGAATCATTAACTGTGACTCAATTATTAGTTCAACAAACCAAATCCATTTGGATGGTGAAAATTAGATTTCTAACAAGCTTAAATATGTGGATTTAAATTCCGAATTTGATTTTGTGAAAAATTAGGAGTGGGTATTATTTAGGCTTGATAGAAATAGTATAAGGAGGTTGTATATAAAATTTGTTCATTTAATGGGGATTGGATTGGTTTTGAAAAGAATTGCAACTGAAAATCGTGGAAGAAGTTCGTCCACAAATGCTTATATAAAGGTGTATAAAAGTGTATAATAGTAGATAAGATGTGTATATACACTCATATACACTATTATACAAGATTATACAAAAACTGACTTCGTCTTTTTCCTCGCGTCTTTTCTGAAATTTAACTCAAATCTTGCTCAAATCTATTCCAAATCACTTCAAATTTAAATTTTGACTCCTTTGATATTTTCAATCAATTGGAACAACACTCAATCCAAACAACTAACTGTGAGCACGTGAGTTTTGCTCGATGAAAAAATACTCCTACAAATTCACAAAAATAGATTTGTTTTTAATTATTTTTAATTTTTTGCTAATTGTTGTTTGCATTTAGTTGCATGTTTAATATTTTAAAATTATAAGAAAATACCAAAAAATTCTAAAATATTCATAGCATAACATTTTAGGTTTATTTGCACTAGTAATTAATTACATTATTAAACAAAAATCACGAAAAATACCATAGGCTTTTATTTTTAGCTCTTAGTTTCAAATTATTAATTTTTCCTTCATTAATTTTATGGTTAATTAATTATATAAATATTAGAAATAATGAATAGGTTAATTTTGTAAATTAGGATTAAGATAGAATCTAATTAGGATTTTTTTTTAAATTTGTAGATTTTTAAAATGAAAGAAAAACAAAGAATGGAGAGCAAGAAGAGAAAGGGGCCATTTTTGGTTGCAAAAAATCGGACTGGGCTGTGTTATTGAGCCCCCCTTTTAACCAGCCCAAACCCAAAGACCATCCGACCCAGTCCTCTTTAAATGCCAAACGACGTCGTTTCAGGCCTTCAATCCTGGCCCTTCATCATTCCCCATCCAACGGCCCTAAACTACCCCCCCACATCCCTTAAATATGATAGAATGGACCCACCCCCTAACCCCAAAATCCCCCTCATTCTCTTCATCTCTCTCAAAGCCCTAACCATAGCCGCCCCCAAATTCCCACAGACCCCCACCGGCGGCCGCCATCCTAGCCCCGCCAAAAGAGCCCCAATCTTCCCCAAATCGACACCCTATACTCCTCAACCTCCCTTCATCATCAAGCTATTGTCATCTTCCCCAAATCCCCACCGACTGTTCTCAAATTCGGATCTAAAAAAAAACAGAAAAATCCTATATCTTTCTTCTCTAATTTTTGGCTTGAAACTTATGCTAATCGATTGTTTTTGGCAAGAACAATCGATTAGTGTTACTTTCGGATCATTTCGGAGGGATTCAGACTCCATGATTGGCCAAATATTTTGTCAAAAGGTTCTTCTTGCTGTATTTAGGTAATAATTCGTCTTTTTGTTTGTTCTTTTATGATTTTTATCTGTTAGCTTAGTTTTTTTTTAGTTTTAGTTTTTTTACCCTAATCTGTCGACATGTTAGGATTTAATTCTATTTGACTCCATGTGTGCATGATTCACTTAATAATTAATTAGCATGATTAAGGGATGGTTACTAATTCTGTTTGTTATGGATTAGTCCCACGTTTAGGTGATGGTAGAGGTTTCCTCTTTAGCAATTTTGGTTTATGAAACTGTGGGGTTTTAAGTTCAATACAAAAAGGTTTTGGTGGTTATTTATATTAAGCAGAACTTAAATGGGTCAATTGGGAAGTAAAAAATGGTGGAATTTTAGATAAAAATATCATAAGCTTCTAGACTTGGACAACTGTCCATTTTTAGTTTTAAAAAGATGCTGAAAATTGGATAGAAAAGGACAGCTGTTGAGATTTAGTTAGAAAAGATGCTCTGTCCGCTGATTTTATTTTCTTATAAAAAAGGACTCCCTTCACAGACTTTAGACACGTTAATATTCAGCATATTTCACTCTCAAAAGCACACACACATTCTTAGGCAGAAGAAGGAGACTCATACTGTATACAGTGATTTCATTTCATTTCTTCTAAAAGTAAAAGTTAAAAATCAGTAATTGCTTCTAAGACTAAGTTGTTTGACTCCATTGGTTCCTGATTTTGCCAAAGCTGGTTTTGGATTGAATTTGAGGTCTTTTTCTGGGATTTACTGCTTTTAGTTGCTGTGTTTGCTCATCTTTCATCAAGCTATTTAGATTTTGGTCTAGCCGTCTTCAAGTTCAGAGATTTATTTTCTATTTCTTGTGTTGCCAAACACATCTGTACTTCTCTTTGAATATGAAAAATAAAGTTCTTTAGTTTGCTGATTCTATGCCTATGCCTATTTTTGAGTTTCTTGTATTTGTTTGCTACATGTGCTTACTTGTGGTCCTCTGTTACTATCAGCTGTTAATATCAGCTCTTTGTTTGTTTGATCATTAGTTGAAATTTTAGTTGAAACCATTTTAAACTAATTCAGCTGCTATTGATATTCATTTATCCTGCTAGAGCAAGTTAAAATATTTAAACCTCTCATGATGTTATTAGTCTTGTAATTCTCGGTCTCATGAAAAGTTGTACTAAATCTGTTGTTAGTGATGTGCTTAACATGAGAGAATGGAGGTTCGAAAAGCATGAACAATTACAGGCCAAAGTTTGGATTTCATGTGTTGAAATACAGCTTTAATTTCAGAAAGAAGAAGTTTAGTGTGTAGAAGTTAACTTTATTGTAAAAGCGAGGTTAGGATCCACGTTTGTGATGCAATAGAATGCCTAGTGCTTTTTTGTAACTCAGTAATTGTATCATTCACGTTAGGTTTTCACTGTAATGTAAAATTATTAACTCTTTAGTTATGTATTCCATGAAAATTGGCAGAAGTATCTAGTCATAATAAGATTCATGTTATTATTAATGATTGGTGGAATTGGTTTAAAGCTCTGAGCCTTGAAGAGCTACAGATTTGGGCTGGATTCAAGTAAGCCCAAAAGGTTTGAAATGTTTACCCCCAGCAGGCCCGCTAGCTAGTCAGCCCAATTACGACATGACTAGTGGTCCAATATATCGCCATCTTCTAGCTAATTGATTCAAAATAATCGTTTGTATTATTATTGTTTAATTAGACATTCGACTATATCCACCAATTTTAAATTCATGGTTTTCTTGATGATTTCCTTTTGAAAGAGTACGCCAGGCTTTGGGCTAAGCCTATTTATTAGGAGAAGTAAAGCTACTGGTTTTCTTTTTGAATGGTTAAGTTTATAACAAATATCAGAATTTCTTTGATCAACGTTATCAGCCTACTGCTTAACGTATACCTCTTTTATTAACAATAGTTCAAAAGTCCATAACCTTCATCAAAATCTCAAACCGTAGAAATAAATAATTCATGAACAATCGTAGTTTGCTTTAGGCGCGTTTAAATAAATTATCGTGGTCATGGGAACAGTTCCCGTGGCATGGTCATGATACATAAATTCCAATTCGAGTGTGTGTTTCACGTGACTCGATCTTATAACTTCAAATAGTAATAAAATAAATATATCGTAAATCGCGGGTGCATTTCATGTGGCGAAGTTTGTAATGTGTACCCAAACGACATGTGTACGACATTGTAACTTATTCCAGAAATAATTTTCATAAATCCTAAAAGCAATTAAAACTCTATTAAAAGCGGTTATAAAAGGTAAAAATGCATAATAGGTCTAAAACAGGTAATAAATTAGATAATTAGGTCAATTATTAATAGTTGAGCGACCATGCTGAAATCACAGAACTTGGGAGTGTCTCACACCTTCTTCCGGGTTAACAGAATTCCTTAGCCATTTTTCTGTGTTCGCAAACTTTTAAATGGAGTCAAATTTTCTCGATTAGGGATTTGAAATAAACCGGTGACTTGGGACACCATAAATTATTGACGACTCTGAATAAATAAATAATCTCACTTTGATTAATGCTACTTTAAATTGAAAAAACTTCCTATCCACTTTGAGAAAAAGGAGGTGTGACAGCTCTGGCGACACTGCTGGGGATATCGACCCAGAATCTCTGGTTTAGGGTTCAGAATTCGAGCTTAGAATAACTGTTAAAGTTGGTTTTTGTTTATTATCTGATTTTTTATGTGTTTGAGCCTACTGTGCTAAATGCCATTTTTTACCGCTTTGATATTATTTGAACCGTATATGAACTATTATGAAACCCTCATTCTCTTTGAGTCTTCTAAATCTTCTGGGGAGCGTGCTCTTCGCGTGGCTTCTTTTCTGTTAGAGTCATATCCCAATTTTAGAATGAGGTTCAGACAAGTTACAAAGCTAGTGAAGCTTCTGTATTCCCGGCATGCTGCCCCCCTCCCCCCTCCCCCTCCCGGCTCGAGCTGTCCGCTCGGGTAAGCCAGGTCTAAAACAATACACCCATGTTTTAAACCTAAAATAACATAGCCTTATGCCGGATCCCTAGTAGGTACGTTTGTTTGCATCACCTACATTTGACTTTGGGACTCAACATAGGGGTTGGGTCCGTGTAGGACAAGTGTACCCAAAAATTAAAAGACCATCCTGATATATTTTTACGTGCTACTTGTACATTTATTTGCTTCGGCTTGCATGTTGATCGGCTTCTAGAATAGGGAAGAAAAGTCAAGAAAAACCAAAATTGAGGTAAGAGAGAGAAAATCACCCGTGTTTGAAAATCCCGGTATCTAAAATACCTCGAAACTCTGCCAAAATTTCGGAAAAAAAAAGAAGAAAAAAGAAGAAAAGTCATTTCAAAATAAATCATATTTTTCTGTTGCGTCAAAATTTACCAAAATACTAAACCCTTTGATTCTCACCGAATGTGGGATACGTAGGCAACCCTCATCGGGTCCAGCTCCGTTTTTGCAAAAATAACCAAAAATGTGAAAGTGCCATCATTTTGTCAAAAATAAAATTAGGTGATGCCGTTTTTGTCCAAACAGTCAGAAATGTCCCGATCGGACGCCGGAAGGTCGTTTTTGCAAGAATTGCCGCCTATGGTCCTTTTTCTAGTTTTTGGTTTAGCAAACACAGCCCTAAAATCTTTCCTACTGAAGTGCTGAAGGGCCGTATTTGCAAAAGTAGCCGCGATTTGTTTGAATTAAGTTTCTGCAAAATAATCTTTTGTTTGGTTAGTTTTCAAACGAAGCTCACATGTTTTAACTAGTCACCCTAATTTAAATGTGCAGAATGAGCACCATTGAGAATCTACCTTTTCGAATCGTAGATGAGATTCCACTAGGACTCCACATATGGTGGAACGACCTGGGGGAGTTCCTTGACCGCAAATCAAATTGAGTGGACTTTCGGTTGGCTCCCGGTCAACGAGGTTATTTACATGTTTGCCGGATTGTGCTTTCTTTTATTGATGAGTCTTCGGAGTATTCAGCCGTATGCTCCGTATCGGGTCTCACGCCAATTGGGCAGATGCCAAACAACCCTTCATGATGAAGATTTGAGTCCACAGGTTGTTGAACTATGCCCAAAAGCCACATTTCCAAAAGAAAAGGTTCGCCAGATTTGGCACTAATGTAGGTTTCTGGAGCCACAGACTCAAGTACGGGATTTGTCCACGAGTGAAGTAGAATCTAACTACACGGCCTGGTATGGTAAAAGGGTTCGAGTCGATCAAGAGCCAAAACAGCCCGCCAAAAAGCCCCATGTCCAACAATTCACTGATGGAGCGCAAGAACAGTGGATTTGGTTAGCTAGAGAGAAGGGATACCGAGTCTGTTAGTCTTTTCCAAGTCTGTTTGTTTTTCTGTTTTGAGTCTGTATGTTCCCTTTATTGTAGGTATTTCCGAGTCCCTGTAATAGAAAAGCCCAAAAAGATTTTATTTAATGAAGTATTGAAAACCCAAAAATTTTCTTTCTTTTATTTTGCATTTATCCCCTGAACTACGTAATGATCTGATTCATGCAGTGTCGTGATACGTAGGCAATCCTCATCGGATTCGATCATAATCGTAGACAATATGAGTAAAAATAAACTGAAAAGAATAAAAAGAAGAGAGAAAGAAAAAGGAAAAATTGAATGAAAAAAGAAGGAAAAGAGTGAAGAAATAAAAGAGCACAAAACAGCAAAAGAGGAAGAAAAAGAATTAGGATGTGAAATTCGAAAAAAGAGATAGCAAAGCCGGGATGAAACACACGGCCGTTGCAAAACATTTAGAAACGCTTAACTATTCCCTATCTGTTAAATTTCTCAAACTAAATGGTTTGTTGTGTGGCAATGAGACAGGTCCTTTTTCAGGTGGTTGGTTTTGTGGTAGTCTGGCTTCCCATCCTTATTTTACAAGATCCAAAGGCAGTATCCGTATGGCTTCCGAAAGTCATCTACCGATTATTAACCCTTCAGAGGATAACCCGGTATCGGTTATCCCAGGGTCAGAATCAGCAGCTGCTGAAGAAAATAGAGTATTGCGTTGTCGTATGTTAGAGATGTGGGACGTTTGGTCTAATGGCAAAGAACCGCCCGGTACAATCCCCGGATTTCCCGAACTGCTTCCCAGGGCAAGCGGAACCTCCAACGTCCCTATTCGCGTAACCAACCCATTCATCCCGTTTGGGTACCCCCACTATATCAGCTAATTTCACCGGTACGCCTTCTGAGGTTCGCCCCCAGGCACCGTTTCTGGGAGTATCTTCTACAGTATTCACCGCACCACCAGTCTCTACTACGGCACAGCCAACAGTGCCTAGGCCATGTTTCGAACTGCCAGCCTTCACTTTTCAAATACCACAATTTCGTTTAGACACAGCTCATGTCAGTCCAAACTCCTACCCTCAGCACCCCCGATACGAGTCTCTGTTAGAACAGGAAAGAACGGCAAGAAACCCCGAGCAAGAAGAAATGGCTCGGAAAATGAAAAGTCTCGAACAGAGTCTTAAGAACATGCAAGGCCTGAGTGGCCAAAAGAGTGTTTCGTACTCCGATTTGTGCATGTTTCCTCATGTCCATTTGCTTGTTGGTTTTAAAACGCCAAAATTCGAGAAATACGACGGGTATGGAGACCCGATTGCTCATTTGAAAAATTATTGTAATCAACTGAGAGGGGCGGGCGGAAAGGAAGAACTTTTGATGGCCTACTTCGGGAAGAGCTTGACGGGAATTGCGTTCGAGTGGTACATGGACCAAGACATCTCCCATTGGCATATATGGGACGACCTCGCCCGAGATTTTGTCAGGCAATTTCAATATAATTTTGACATAGCCCTAGATAGGAATTCCTTGACCAATTTTAAGAAGAAAATCGCGGAAAGTTTTCGTGAATACGCTATCAAGTGGCGTGAGCAAGCATCTCGAGTGAAACCACCAATGGATGAGGCAGAGATGGTAAATGTGTTCTTGCAAGCCCAAGAGGCCGATTACTTTCAAAACATGATGTCTGCCATGGGCAAACCGTTCGCGGAGGCAAAAAAATTTGGAGAAATGGTAGAAAACGACTTGAAAACCGGCCGCATCATAAGCCAATCTGCTTTAAGAGCCACTTCCCAAGCTATCCAAAACAACTCGGGAGGTTTAGCAAATCGAAAGAAGAGGGAAGAAGGAGCCATGATGGCTACAAGTTCGAGAAACCCTTGTCGACCCCGTGATTATTCTTGCCCGTCTTCCAGAACCCCGAAACACTACTACCCTCACCAAGATGCAGCACATGCCGTGGCACCGCCTCTCTATGCGGTGATGAATGCCCAACCCTACACACGGCCGCAATAACACTAGAACCAAAACAGAGCTCCACATCCAAGAAATAACAATCCTCACCAACAACAGACCCAGTTTGATCCCAATAGGTCGGCCATAAATTGGAAATCCGCGCGAGTCCCAAATTTTCGTGTGCTATAGCTCACGCCTTCCGTCGTGGGCCCGGACGGATCCGGCACCGGATCGCCTAATATTTGT